TGCTGTCGAGTCTGAAAAGGGCAGGGCAGGTATTGTAATGCGAATGTGGTCAGATAGAGAGTGGGGGGTAGTGTGAGTGTGTGTGTGTGTGTGTGTGTAATGTAATCTACAGGGTGTGTCCCTCCATATACCACTACTGATATTACTGCCACCATCCACAGGAAGACGATGCTGCATTGTTCCTGTAACACTGGAAAAAAAACGCACTCATCTTACAAACTGTAATTGGAGAGAAGTCTCGTAATATCATAATACATGATACTAACTCAGCGAAATTGGGGAAGCACGGAAATGTGACACAAGATACAAGAAATTAAGTTAGTATTTCAGCTTTTTTCATACCTCCTCCTTTTGAATAAAACATGAAATCATTTACGCAGGGCTTAAGTTAGGTAGGTTAGCTGCCAGGCTGCCTTTCAGCAAACAGAATTAATATTTTGAAATTGGAAAAATCGCATTTTTTTAAATACAGATACAGCAAACAATGTCTTTATCCCTAGTTCAGAAGAAAGGGTGCAAGTGTAACTAATAAAGCTGTTAAGACATGAGCCCTCTTGGGTGTTCATGTGCTCCCTTTTACCTCTGAAGTTAAATTTTACTCGTTTATAGGTTTATGTGTTATTGTGGGAGGTGGGTGAGGCTTTGTGGGCTGAAAGCAAGGGGCGCTGTGCACTGTCTGTTTTTCATTTGTTGGAGGAGCAGGCCTGTGTGTGTGCATGCACTGAAGTCTGATATATATGCAGTCAAACCTCACTTGACTACATTAATGTCTGCTGTTTTACAAGAGTCACCTGCAATCCCAGAGTGAAATAATCTCTCTCATTATTAAAATATCTTCACTGAGATCAGTTTACCTGTGTAGTGGATGAGGCATGGCAATGCCACCAAGAGCTCAATCCCCAGGATGCTGAGCAGCATGCAGGTGTGCACAGTTGTTGATAAACGTGCAGCCAGAACAACCAGCAGCAGAACATTCCCTGCACATTAACAGAAAAACACAAACACAGCATTACTGCCACCTTGTGGAGAAAAGTGACCTCTACACGTGCAGTTAATGGAATTTTTGTTGTCTGATAACCTGTGTGAAGTTGTACCTGTAGAGTGCACGGAGAGCGGCAGGTGCTTCAGTCCCTGCATCTGTCTGTAGAAGCGCAGGTATCCTCTGCTCCTGGCCTGGCTGTGGTGGTGCTGTGCACACGCAGTGAAGAACAGCACCAGCACCCACAAACACACCTTCCCAAACACAATGATGCTGTCGCCTCGCACGTTACCCAAAATGCTCATACACACCTCCTGTTGGCCAAATTCCAGCACACACAGCACTGCCAAACATATTGACAACACCACGAACACAACCTGAAACGAAGAAGAGAGGACAGTGAGTGAGACAGATGTATGAAACAGGAGATGTCGGGACAGACCAGCACACACTATGACTATTATTAAACATGGAAAATAAAGTGAGTCACTGTGAGTGTCTCGGTTAAGAGGGCAGAGTGGATAAAGGCCTTTACATGTGCTGCACTAGTCAGATTACTCTAGAAAAATCTGCAGATAAATTTCTTGATTACTCAATTGGTTGTTTTGTCCATAAAATTTCAGGAAAAAAGCCCATCAGAGCTTCCCCAGATCCCAAATTGTAATGTCATCTTGTCCAACCAGCATCTCAAACCCTAAAGATATTCGGTTTATAACGACATAAACCAGAGAAAAGGACATACATCATCCTATCGAAGAAGCTGAAACAAGCAAAGGTCTGGCATTCTTGCTCAAACCATTACTCAGATGATTATTTATTATCAAAATAGTTGTATTTTGTGTCTGTCTCTACCAACCAACCAGTTCATTAGCTAATTGTTTAGGCTCTGCATTACTGTAGCAAAAACATCACAATATCAATAGTAACATAATATCAAATTAAACAAGAATAAACATCATAAACATATTATATTAAATTTGGTTTAAATATTGTGTTGTGCTTTCAGCAGTTTATTTCCAAATCCAATCATTTTGGAAGGTTTTAAAATCACAAGTACTTCAATTTTTTTCTGTCAGATGTGTAAGGTTACTGCTGGTACTTTATTAGGGAATAACAGATGTTATTACAGTGCGTGTAAAGACAGTGATTGTATGTGTGTAAATGTGTGTGTGTCATACATGCAGTAGAGACAGGAGGGCAGCATGGCAGGGTGTTGGTATAGTCTGAAATTCCCTCCTGATGGCAGAGTGGAGGGCATCAGCAGAGATCAGAGGTCCATCCACCAAAGACTCCTCCTCTATGCTTCGTGACATGTCTAATGAGGGACCTGCCGGCTAAAACAAACAACACATTATTCTCTATGTACAGATTAGTTGATTTAACTACAAAAATATGAGTTTTTAAATATTCAGTACCAACTCTGTTATTTTTACCACCATTGTTTCAGCATATAAACCTGATTTATTTGTGATTTCTGTACAAGCTACTTCTCCCTCCAGGGGACAAATCAAGTTTCTCTTATCCACTGGTGGAAAGTAACTAAGTACATTTACACAAGTACTGCACTTCGGTACAATTTTGAGGTTCTTTACTTGTGTATTTCAATTTTCTGCTACTTTATAGTCCTGTGATATACTTCAATAATAATTATTTTAATTACTTGGAGATTGTGATCAATAATACCAAATATAATCAACAAACACATATTAATACTTTTGTACATCTACTGAAGAAACATTTTGAATGCAGGATGCAGGAGGATTTATACACTATGGTATTGATGCTTTCACTTTAGTAAAACATTTGAGTAAGATAGTTCTTCCACCACTGCTCTTATCTTGTATTGTGTCTCCAATATAGTGGTATTTATTAAGAACCAAAACATATCTGTGAGCAGTCATGTAACCTGTCATCTTTCAGTAATGACTAATGGTTCATCCCCCAGAAAAACAACTAACACAATCTATTAAACTCGACCCGGACCACCATTATTCAATTCATAGATTGAGAAGAGCAACAACAACTGGCCAGTTTATATCCGTGTATGACTGTGTGTTTATGCCTAAAAGGGAAACTGAAACTAAAAACCTCTGCTGTGATTAATCTTGAATCTGCACCACAACAAACAGAATTTACACTGACAGCAGGAAACAGCAGAGAAACCACAAAATCATTGATCACAAATCTCGGTTTTACTGTTTGTTAGAGCCGATTAAAGAGCATAAAAGACAGCTTGTAAAAGATAACCACACGACACAAACACAGTCGTATCGTGACAGTTGCTGTTTTTAGCCTACTGGCTAGCTAACACAGGCTAACTGCCACACAGTATTTACTGCTCTTTAACGGACAAGCTAACCGTTACCATGGCAGCCAGTTAACGTTAAATATACATATACATACTGCATAAAGAGAGGGTCCCTTTGAGTCCATTTTGTGTCGGTGTTCGATGTTTTTAAAGAAAAAATAAAAGAACAACAACAAACAACCATTAGCTTACATGCTACCAAGAGGGCGGGGCGAACAGCCACTTCCGGTACACTTCCGGTTCCCCTAGTTTATGGATCCGCTTGTTTCTGGCGCAATAAAGCCTTCAATTTTATTATTATTATTATTGCTGATTTCTGCTTATTATTACCAGTACAAAAATATAAATCCTGTCCTGACATAAATACAAGTTTTCTGAAACTTATATTGTTAAAGAATTTGAGAATTTGACATAATTTCTTGTTAAACAAAGTTATGGAAATTTCAAAATCAGCTTTATTGGCCAAGATTTGACCTCGTTTTTTAAATTAATTAATTAAAAAAGATTTGTTACCAACTTTTATATAATACAATACAATACAATACAATACAACAATAATACACAACAATTACCCCCACCTTAACCTGGTCTTAGTAGATCAACTGAAGGAGGAGAAGAAGAAATAATGATAATAAATTAAATTAAATTAAAACTAAAACGAAGAAAAAAAATTAATGAAAGATAAAAAAAAATAGGAATAAATAGGTCATACGGGATATGACTCCTTGCCTCCTTCCCTTTGTCAATAAGGAGAGCCAAGGCACCAGTGGTTGACTCTTCAGCATTGTGCATTTTTTGCTACTGACATCTTCATATGTTATATCCAATAGTCCAGTTTTAATTACCATCTAAAGTACTTGCGCAGATATAGACATAACATCTAAAAACAAGGACAACAAAGCTGAACAACATAAACATTTGACTACTATAAATATTGGTTTTCTGTCAATTAATATATATTTAAACCATTCAAAACATTAGGTGCATTAAACAGGTTTTTGTGAATGAATAGCATCTAGGAAAAAATACAAAATTATTCTTTTCAAACATCCAAACAGGTAACTGTAGTCTTTACTCCACAACATTTATTTAATAGCTGTGGCTACTAGTTACACAGCAGATTAAAATTACATAACTAAAATAGCAGGGAATATTCTGCTGCAAAATAAGTACCTGTTTGTTATACTGTAGGTACATTTAGCTGATTAGACTCCTGTTCTTTAACTTAAATAAGATCTTTATTCCAGGACTTTTACGTTTACTTTAAACTTTAAGCATATTTCTACATCATGTTATCACTACTTTTACGTAAGTTAAAAATCTAAATTTTTTCCACTGTTGTTTACATGTTGACCTATGTTAGGACCCTTTTTTATTCAGTTGAGAGGATTCATTCTTTTACCTGCGTACTTAATCTGCATTCTAATTCACTTCACTTCACTTCACTTCTTTATTATGTCCCAATATGGGCAAATTGGGTTGCCGCAGGCACAGGCATTATAAACAAATTGCAGAAAGTACATTTGCAAAAAGTACATTTGCATGAGAAACAAAACACACAGATAAATAAAAATAAAAACCTAAGAGCATACGTCAGTCAGACAAGTATTTTTGCATGGGGGTGGGGGTGGGGGACAGAGTTCGTAAAGTGCAATTCAAAGTGCTATGTGTGATTTGCATACCAAAACAAACAACAACAAAAGACAGATGTCATCCCATTTAAAATATTTTATTGATAAACATACACTTGCTATAAAAGACAATGAACTGAGCGCTCTGTTCCTCTGAGTGATGAAGACGCTGTCAGGTGTTCAGACTGAGGCGATGACACACAGAGGAGAGAGGCGTTCAGCTCAGACTCTGGGGAGGCAACACTTGTGAGAGAGGCAGACGAGGAGAGATTATAGGAGGACGTTGTGGAGCTGTCATTATAAGGAGGAACAATTAACAGGGAAGCAGCAAATCACTTTGTGTCATTGGTTTAGCTCATGGAAGAGGGGGTGGAAGAAAAGAGCAGGTGATTAGAAGATCCATTTGAAATGTTTTTTGCTGGTATGGAACTGTGCTTCAAGTCAGATCACACATTGCAGTCGCACCTGTACATGCATGACCTCATACACTCACGCACACACACACACACACACACACACACACACACACACACACATACACACACATGTGCCAAGACCCAGAGGTCCGTGTGGGTGTGAACAGCTCCTGCACATACACTAGCCCTCTCGCATTCATTACATAAGGCACTGATTCGGATGCAGTCAGTCTATGAGAATAAAACAATGGCTAAAACATCTTAAAGGGAAAATATTTAAAAATCCAAAGAACAAGTATATAATTAATAACATGCATTCTCATTCCTGTAAAATTAATTATAAAGAAAAAAAAAAAAGCTTGTGTAAGTTAGCGAGATGCCCAAAAAAAAAAAAAAAAACGGAAAATATCATGATGATGTACAACATACAAGAGGAAAGTTCAGCTGTCGAGACGATAACAACGTACGTCAAACTCACACTACGTCATCTGAGCAATACTCACAATAACTTATATATGTTCTTCTTTCATGCAAAACTGTAAACACAAAACCCAAAAAAAGGATGAGAAAGTATGATGATGATGAGTAAGGCATTGTAATGGTCAAGCTACTTCCGGTTTTCCAACCCAGACCTGTCACATGATCAGTGCAGAAGCAGGGGTTAATGAATCAAGACTTTGAGACTGATGTGCAGTGGTTCAGCGTTCAGCGTTAACATGTTATCAGATCCTTATTTTAGTGTCTAACTGTGCTAAATATGGATGTGCAAAGGTCTAAACACGTTGATTTGTTTGATTACATCCATGCTACACGTATTAAAATGTTAAAGTGTATACATGTGTACAGTTAATAAGCACACACACTGTTCTGTATGTGCATGTGATGCTGTGTCACTCAGTCTGCATGTCAGTCCAGTTTTTGCTCTCAGTAACATCCATAAAGCTGTTTGTGCAATTCAGGAGAAAGATGATGATTCTAAGTTTTCAAGAGAATTCCAGAATTTCCAGGATGTGAGTCAAAGCTCAAGAATTCTTCTACGTCCAATCACAGATGAGGACAGTGGGGACTTCCAGTTCATCATAGTGTGGTGGGCTGACCTCTGCCTGCAAACACATGGAAATATGTCTGTAAAACGTCTGCTCTCTTAACGTCTTAACATATGATCAGGTTGTTTAATAACACTGTTTCTTGTCAGAGTCACTGTGTTAGACCCTTGACATAAGGACATTAATAACATGATGCTGGCCCCTAACCCCATTTTATAAAGGGTCTAGTTTAAAGGGACAGTTCACCCCCAAATCAAAAATACATATGTTTCCAAATAAACCCGTGGAGGAATCCACAAGAAAAGCACTGGAGCACTCAGATCACTTGTGATGAATTTATTAATGACTAACGTTTCGACGCCAACTGCGTTTTGACTCTGATGAAGACGCAGTTGGCGTCGAAACGTTAGTCACCTTTCTGTGAGCAGTTTCATGTAGGAACTAATTTCTTTCTATCAAACTACACTCACGTAGAGGGAAGCAAGCATCTACTCATGGACAAGAGGCTCATGCATATGACAGCGAGAGGTGGAAACATTTCTAGCACCCTCCTCAGCTGAGCTGTAATGTTAGCTTGCTCAGGGGTGCTAGGTGAGCTAGCAGTAGATTCACACTTCCTTCTGTGTGGTGATACAGTTACCTGTGTCCTCCTGTAAAAACATAATTGACATTTTTGTATCAAAAACTACTTCCACTTCATAATCCTCCGTCACTATGACAACCAGCTGCTTGCCACATCCTTGAATGTGGGTTAAGGAGCTCGTCAAGTATTGCATGCCCTTTGTTTTTTCTAAGGATGTGAATGTAGTTCATGGGGGATTCTCACAACTAATGTGCTCTGTATGTGTGTGATAGTGTGTGTGTCATTGTGTGTGTTCTCACCCCGAGATGCAATATAGCACTCATGACAGCTCAGCAGTCCGTTACGAATCCGTACGTCAGTCCCTGTAGTGGCGTCACCCAGCTGCCCTTCACACACTCCACACTGAGAGAGACAAATACAGTTGACTATTAACATCATACACAGAGAGGGTTGTTTTACACAGGCTATCAAATGGTTTAATATGTCTCACAAAATTAAAGATGAGGAATATCGAAAATAAAGCTTGTGCTTTTTACTCCTGCAGAATATCAGCCAACTATCTGTCTTTCTTTATAGTGTTTGGAGATAATGTGATGGAGTGCACATGTTTCAGTAAACTCTGTATATCTTCAAATCCTTCACACAGAAGCCAGAGATGCTGCTTCTGTGTGAAGTAAAATGAAGTATGAAGTACCCAAATTAGTGTGTATGTGTGTACCAGAGTAACACAGTACCTTAAAACACTGTATGTGGAAAAAGAGTCCCAGTGTATCGATGATCATAGCAGCTCCTTTTCCCAGAGGCTGAGAACAACCAGTACACAGTCTCTTCCCACTAACACACCTACACACGCACACACACACACACACGCACAGGATGAAAATAGATATTAACGCATCTTCACTCCATTTAACAGTGAAACCTAATTTCTATCAGACGTGCAGTTGTGTATGTGTATGCTCGCATCATTACCTGCTAGGTGAGGGAGGCTGAGGTGATGAAGGGGAGATCTGCTGTTTGCTTGTCACGGCGTCATGTGATTCAGACCTGTGGTGAGAAAACGACAGAAAATGAAATTTTCGCACATCCAAAATATTCGTAACATGTTTCAGATGATTGCTGTTTATACATCAGAAAAGTCTCTCAGGGTGCAAAAACAAAATTTACATTTTTGTCATCTGTGCTGTAGAGTGCTGTAGCACTATTCAATGAGACATAAAACACATTCATGCAGTTCTTCCAGCCATTTGCTCTCCATTAAAATCTTGGCATTCTAATCAATAAGGAAACATGGATAACTTTTCCACGTGTGCTGCTATTAAATTAATGTAGCAATTTAGCATTAGCATGATTTAGCATTTACACATGATTGTCACCTTTGTCCACAGTGGCCCCAGTTTAGCAAAAGTTAGACAGTCTTGCTTTCACTCACAATTACGTCATACGCTCATTCATTTGCTACCAAATTAGCTGGAATCCATTTACACAGAGAAGAGCATTTCAGGACGCTCCTCCAAGAATCGCCACCTTAACGTGGTGGAGGGATTTGCGTGTATCCGTGATCCTGGGAACTGTGTTGTCCGCAGCTAATAGCCCCTGGTAGGGTCTCCCAAGGCAAAGTGGTTCCAGGGGAGGGGCCAGACTAAGAGTGATTCAAGAGGACGTTGATGACTTGGCATATTCGGACTTCCAGTACCTTGCCCAGTATGGGGACACCGGGGACACTCCCCTGGAGCTAGACCTGGGCGGTAACTTGCTAGCGAGCATCTGGTGGGTGGGCCTTGGGACATGGGGCCTGGTCAGGCTAAGCTTGAATAATTAATATGGAGCTAGCACCCTGTGGGCCCACCACCCACAGAGACAGGAATCAGGGTTGGGTGTATTGTGAGCCGGGCAGCAGGCAGGGGCGGGGTCCTGAGTGTGCTGATCCCTGGCACTGCAGACTTCACATACACTCAGGACAAAAATGCAGAGAACCCTAAAAGACATCATGGTGCATGCACACAAAAGCATCCTTATATACCGTTTAACAATATGTGGCTGGTTCAGCTGAGGGTTGCGGTCCAGAGAGGCCGTCTTCCACAGTTCCTGTTTCTTTGAAGGTTCACCGTCACCTGCAGAATCTATAAAAATAAAGACATAAACTTTTATCTCAGAAACTCTGAGACTACACTCTTGAACTGAAATTGAAGGAGCGGTGCACACACATTAATATACCTCCTGCATCAGCGTGTATTTCTGCATGCATCTCACCCTGGAAAAAATGCAGCTTGGATGCGTGCTGATCCTCACTCCCAGGGGAGGGTCTTTGGCCGTTTTGCTGAGCAGGAACATTTCTTATTTCTGTCTTGTTGTTTTCTGGAGTTGATGGAGTCGTCCCCGTCTGTCCCAACTGCTGGTTTAATGAGCAGGTGGGATTTAAGGGTGTCACAGTCTCCTCCAAGATCTTTCTCTCCTGCAATTTGTATAAACAAAGTAAAGACACAACATATAAGACACACAAAAGCAGCGTGTGATGCTTTGTCAGTCTGTGTGTGACTGTACCTCTTCATTGTGCTTCCTCTCCTCCTCCTCCACCTCAAGCTGGGCTTTCTCCCACTCCTTCTTCAGCTTCTCCTGCTCTCTCTGGTATTGCTCCTGTAGAGAAACACTGTACATGTTAAATACTGCATGCACCAGAAACACACATATGACACACACATAAACACACATGTATATACACAAATATATAATATACACACATCCAGTACACCCTGTGCCTTCTGTTTTCTGCTGAACATTCATGGTGCCATGCATATACACACCATTCCACCAGTGTACCTGTAGGAGGCGCTCCTGCTCCTGTTGCCAACTTTCCAGGCGTTTACGCTCCTCATTGGGGTCCCAGACCCAGTGATTAACACGTTTAGCCAAGTTCAACATGGGGGTCTCAATCTAACCAGACCCGACCGACAATCACGCACGCACACACACACATGTATACGGACCAAAAGGACAGAAAGAGAGGAAAGGTGAGAGGACAAAGTTTGACTACAGCGACTACTGGAGACGAAGGGTCAGGACAGGGTCAAATCTGAGAATGAAGGAGAAACAGAAAAAAAGATGGAGATGCTCGGAGATACTCACAGTCACACTGCTCTCCTCAAGTCCCTCTGTGGCGGAGAAAGACACAGAGACACACATCAGTACAAATATATATCAGAATCACCATCAGCTTCATAGGCCAAGTATGTGTGCACATACGGTGAGTTTAAGGCTGGATTTAAGTTGCTCTGGATGTACTTATACAGATCAAATTATGGGAAAAAATAAACAGACATACAGCTAAAAACAAGGATGACAAAGCTGAGCAAAGATATAAAATAAAAGACAGAAATAAACACAGAATGAACATATAAGTAGGTGAAAAAAAGGGTATATAAATACATATAAAACATGACTAACATGTCTACATGTAAGTCAAGTGTTTAGGTAAATTGTAAATAAATACAATCACTGCAAAAGAAAGAAATTATACAGAATGTCTGCAGCAAAAATCATGTTGTAAACTATAATACATGCTATAATTTGCAGTGTTACCTGTGACAGTGGGAGAATATTCGTGCATGCTGTTTTGTGATGTAGCCGGCTGCACCTTGTTCTCCTCCACTGGACTCCCAGATAACCCAGAAGTACCGTTGACCTGAAAGTTAAAAATTCAACTACATGAATAAAACATTAACTGGAATAAATCACATACACTTTAATTATTGCTGTCAAGTTCCAGGTCCCAAATATGCGATAACATTTAATATCTCCTTACTGTGTTTTCTTTCCAGGCAGTCGCTGGCTTCAGTTCATGTAAATGCAATATTAAAATCAAGCTGAGGAGACTGGAAACTTGCTTTACATAGGACATCCATCACAGTGAACAGCTGAGGGGTGTTTCAGGTCAAGCTCATGTCTCTGCACTGCGAGCTAAAACATATTTTATAAAGTTCCTAGACAAAGATTATATCTTACGTACATAATATTGCTGTTTTAAACGAAGTGCAACTGGCCACAGATTTGGGCAATAGCCAAATTTCTTGTCTTCATGTTTTAATTCTGAACTGTATATCATATTTATTGGTTTTATACTGCAGTATGAAGTCTAAGACAAATTTCCCCATGGGCACATTAAAGTTTTCTCTCATCTCTTGTCTTTCTGTTAGTGTTTTCACTTTGGGGTAATAAAGATAATAAGTAAAAAGCTCCTCTGTTTCGGTGTATTCATGTGCTTCCAATACCCAAGTCAGCTGCTGAACTGCAACCTTTTAATGCAAAACCTAACTAAATTCACAATATCCTGTTTTAACAGCACCCATGTTACTTTCAGTTTGTCCTCTGGGTTTCATTTTCCACTAACACAGCTCGTAAATGGTAAGAAGAATCGAGGGCTGACGCTCGTGTGGTCTCAGGTGTCAAGACTTTCCATAAACACTTGAATGCACCAGGATGGCAAATCCATGAAAACAATTCACTCTTTATCTGTAGTCCATGCAGCGATGCAGTGATAGTGCAGCTTTGGCAGAGAGTAAAGGCGACAAAACCAACTTTCATAAGCTAATATGAAACTCCTGCATAGTGTATGGAAAGGAATTGAAACCTACGGGTGTCCGGATGGTTAGAAAAACATATTTACTCCAGACACAATATAAAAAATAGCCGTGTCCTTTATGAATATGGTCAGCGGTAGTGTAAAGCATTCATTATTTGAATTAAATGGGCTAACACACAAGAAACGTGTTCTGTTCTTAAACATGCCACTTGTGACATTACCTGTCCATTGCTGTGGATATCCGGATGATGCGGCTCCACATGTGTGAGCTCTGTCACAATAGTTGTCGTGATGGTACAGTTTCGGCCTCCAATCAGGGAGCTGATGGCCGAGCCTAAAGACAAAGTTGGTTTTTCTGTCTGTGGAGGCGGCATCTGTGGGGGAGGCGTCTGCTGCACCGTCTCCTGATTGGTCGTACTCTGCTCAGAGGGAACATCTTTCTCCGTCTGATTGGAGGGAACGTCCTTCTCTATCTCTTTGGAGGGAACGTGTTTCTCTGTCAGTGTGCAGGGAACATCTTTCTCTGTTGGTTTGGGGGGAACGCTTGTTTCTGTATGTTTAGAGGGAACAGCTTTCTCAGTCTGCTCTGAGGGAACATCTTTGACCTCCAGTGGTGAGTGCTGTGCAGAGATAGGTGGAGTGGAAGAAGATAAATCCTCCATCACATCTCCATTCACTCGCACCAACCCGTCCATCTGAGTGGGACACATGCATAGAGGTCAGGATTACGGGCATAGTTTATTTTTTAATTCAACATTTCCTACATAGTGAGAGTCACACAAACTCACGGATGCCATTTTTATGTGTCTACAGGCAGTTTGAAGATTTGGTAAACTTTTAGCAAACTCTGTTGAACTCTTCTTAACAAATGTCTTTAGAAATAAATACAGAATTCTCCAATTCACAGTGTCGTTTGGGACTACTTCTTTTAAGTCAAATCCACAACGTGCTGGAAACTACAGTGCAAACCAACACTGATGACAGAATATATGGAAAAAAAAACCATAGATAAATGGAATGAGCATGGTCGACCACATGAGCAGCGACCAGAAGCCTAGTCTGGGAACTAGTAGAACATTCTGTAAGTACATAAAGTACACATATGTGTTTTCATCCGATGTGTCTTGTATCCACTAGAAAGTGGATCAGAGGTTTGACCTTCAATTATTTTATTTTGTTGTGAGAAATGATCAACATTAATACGTGAACCACATGTTCAGTAAGATGAGCACTTTGTCTTTTGGAGAAGCTGAAAGATGCATTTCTGCTTTTTGAGGGAAGTTGATTGTTGTTGCCAGTGACTTATCATCAAACACACCTTCGAACAGCATGCAGAGAACTAAAAACGGCATCCATGTCACAGAGCAAGAAGTCAAAATGTTAAAACATCCTCAATACAACAGGCACCTTAAGCATAGGGTCACTGAAGTGGAACAATGAAGTATCAGATGACGCTGACTGACTGATATGGAGCCCTCACCTTGACAGGTTTGTGTCCAGGCTGTGTGTTCCTGGGCTGGCAGTAGGGCTTGGCTGCCAGCAGGGGGACGGGTCTGGGGGATACAGATGGAGGGGAGGGGAGTGTGTGTACAGGCTGTGAGGTTTGAGGTTGCACTTGTGCAGTCTGAGGCGGAGTGTGTTTGGTTTGAGGCTCTGCACCTCCTGTGATCGGCTGTTCTTGATGTGTAGTTGGAGACTCGGTTGGTTTGGACTGAGGCTCATTCAGTTCTAGTGACTGAGGTGGCACGCTTTCTGAGTTTGTGATTGGGCTGAGTGGGCTGCCAAGTGTCGGGAAGCTGGGAGAGACAGAAGCTGATGTCTCTTGTTGAGCAGTTGGATCTGTTTCCATCTCTTCAGGGTCTGTGGGCGTCTGGTGTTGTGTAACAGATGGCTCTGGTTTGTACAGAGGCTCTGATGTTTCATTGATAGGTGGTGTTGTTTTGTGCTCCTTGTCCACCTTAATAAGGTCGTGTTTGGGTTTTGAAGTGGATCTGGGCAGTTTCAGGCTGTCCAGTGTTGCGTCACTAATGGTGAAGCGAAGAGCGTATCGTTGTAAAACCATGGCGGCCTCCTCTGGAGTCGCTGCGTTCCTGTAGGCTTCACACAACTCTGCCTCTCTGCGCTCCCTAGGAAAGAAAAGGAAAAAGAAAGAATGAAGTGTTTCAGGTAGGAGTGCTGCCACGGAAGCTAAGCAAAGTACTGGTGTGGACGGGGGCTGCAGCTAAACTTATTCTAGCCACAGAAAACAATCAATATCAGTTCAAGTATACGCTATATTTAGACTATCTTCACTTTCAGGTTCTCTACCCTTCTGTCAGACAGCTCTTTCAAACGGGGAACTAAAGCCGTTGTCTATGCTCTCCTCAAAGCCAGACTCCTTTGACAAAAATACTCTTTTACCTTGCAGAAGATGGGAGTTGCTGGTCTACCGCTGCCTCAATCAGTTAGTTTAATCCGTGTTGGTGCTCCTGCCTGATTCACTAAACTGGGGGTATGCTTACCATCATCTACTGTTGGCAATACACTGACTGGAGTACCTCATACAACCCCACATCAAAATATCTGAACTATCCCTTTAAAACTGCCCAGTTCTTGGGCGGTTGCTTCAACTACAGATTGTACTTCCACATTAGGACACAGGAAGTATAGATGCGAATCAAGAGAGTGACCTGCCCTGCTCTCTCTCAAACTCAGACCATACTCCGCTCAAACGATAAAACTAGGTGATGCTAATGACATATAAGATATTCAGGCTTACTGTTTAACTCTAATTTGAGATTGTTTGTTACCAGCTGGTCGCCACTCTGTTTCTGGACAGGCAACTTGCATTACGTCACCCACCAGTGCATTCTGGTAGCTTTCTACCTTTTGAGCAAAAGCAAATGCTACAGTCATTTTTCTCTGTTTTCTCTGGTCATGTTGCACCCATTTCAAAAGTATTTGCATCTGTCCACTCTATAGACAGCCTAGTTTTACAAAAAGACCGTCTTTCGAGCACTAAAATAGTACTTTTTTGGACATGTGCAAAATTCCTAAGGCCTAAATATCATCCTTACTTCTCCTCCACGATCTCTTTGTAGGTCTTAATGCTTTTCCTCTTATTGCTTTCACTTCTCTCCTCCTTCATCCTTTTCTCCATCCTCTTTCTCTCTTCCTCTTTCCTGATCAGTTCCTGCGATGCGCTGCGGCGGCGATTCTTCCAGCGAGCCAAGTCCTGTCACAGGTTCACAGTGTCATACGGTGGCAGTCTTAATTTAGCATAATGCTATTGCACATTAATAAAATCAAACCAACATTCTCAGTTTAAGTATCACAAGTTTCTTACATTTTGCCAGTGGTCGTCATCTTCCTGAAAGTTGTTGTACTGTTCGTGCATGCGCTCATATCGCGATTGGCTCAGTGGCGGTAAGTGTCCCACCTCATCCTCGTTAAGCATGTCACTCATACTCACGCTCCTAGAGAGGAAGAAAAAGACAGTTCAATCTTGTTTAAATTACTGAATGACTTGACCCAACATATTCACTTTGTCCAATTTGGCTCTGGAAAACTGAAAATATTGAATCTTAATTCAGTCATTGTTTGTCAGCTACTAATACAAAATTTCAAACAACATATGCGCGGTTATATAGAAATAATAACAAACATTCAATGATTGAAAAGGAACAGGGAGGAAAACAAAATGCTCCCCTTCTCAAAATGGAAAAAGCAAGACACACTCAGACACAACCAATATCAGTCCACTAACACAAACATTACATTGTTATCCTTATTGTTCTTTTCTCTGTGTACTGAATTTATATTAGTTATGTATGTGTTGTCCCACACCTCCACACAATAACAAAAATATGTCAGGGTGTTTCCATAAATTAATCACAAAGAAATTAAACAAGCAACTGAGCAAACTTAAAAACTCAATTTATTTAGGCAGGCCAGACACATTAATTCAACTTAATAAGGGAGTAGTTAATATTAGTGTGTGCATTTTATTGAATGACGAAACAAACAAGCAAAAACAATGCAAAACAGAATGACATTAAGATGTCAATAAAAAGCAGGATGTTAATAAGGAGTCATGATGTGACAATGCAGAGCAATGAGTATAATGTTAGTGAGTCGTATAATAATATATTTTTGGACTGTACTCTTGAAATCGAACGTGCACAGCGTGTACATTGTCGTCATGCAGATGTTCATCAAGGTTCACACCGAAGACTTACTCAGTGTCCTCAGACATAAAAGCAACTCTCCGGCTCATCCTAAAACAGTAACAGATAGAGTGGATGAGAGGAAACAGCAGGTGAGGGAATGGGCAGCAGCATTAATGCTAATGTCACACTTCAGAGCTACATGAGAGCTAAATCTGAGAAGGGGACAAATGAAGACACATAAGGAACTGAATGGGAATCTCACATGATGGGAGGTAGATTATCGTCATCCAGCCAGAACGGTTTCTTTCGTGGTTGCTCGTTCACGTCCTTCTTTCTCTCATCCACCTTTTCCTCAGCTCTTTCCTCAACACTCTGGTTTTCAAGCTCTGCCTTCACTTTAAAAGTCTGAGCACGAGCAGGACTGGATGGAGGGGTGCGCAATGGAGAGGGGGGCTCAGTCACATTTGTGACAGAGGTGTTAGGGATTGTCATGTCTTGCTTTCCATCCTCGTCCTGTCTCTCCCTCAGCCCTGCACGCGTACAGAGGATCGGGGCTTTGGAGGGCAGGGCTTGAGGTTCTGCTGCCACGGTAACACTGCTGCTAAAATCCAGTGACAAGGTCAAAGTTACCAGGAAATACTGATCAAAGGGTAAATCAAGACTGCATCACAGACAAGAGACGACTGCAGCTGATCTCTGCTCAGCTCTTCAGTTTTAGCTAAGTTCAATGTCTTATTCACGCCTTATAGTATCTAGTCATGCAGATAGTTTTGGTTTTATCTGCAGAGGTTGTGAGATATCAGCAATATCCTGAAAAGAATTGTGTTTGAGCAGCTCAAAACATTGAACAATTACATATAAAATTCATAAGCAACATCTTACAGAAAATGTTAGTTTGGATAATGAACACATCTCACTGTGATCAGTGATTAGTGGAAGTTCTTTTTTTCTGAAGATAGTTGCTGTTACAGTAAATGTGTTGGTTGTGTGACTATGTGTGGCTGTGCTGATGTTGTACAGTGAGGAGACAGCAGTTAACATTGACTGTCTGCTAACTTATTTTGTCTGTTTATTTGTTTTTGTGTTTTTGTTATTTGTTATTTTATGTGGGGACCGCAGATGGAAACTAGCTGTCAGCTAAATCTGGTGTTATGCATCTCTCCTTGTGATTCAAGATTAATATTTATAACACATGGTCACTGTTAAATAAAAAAAAATATATCTGTATAATTAGTACCAAGTTACATAGTTCTTTCCCCAAAACCTACAAGGAAATTATTAGGAAATAGCTTTTAGCTTTGTTTGTAATTTGGGCACACGACCCCAAGAATTTAAAAAACTAGAGAGCAGAGTAGCAGCTGTGTCGCCCCTAGGTGACTAAGCAGTGATCTACACTTTAAATACAAAGATAACAGCCGCTCAATACTCAACTAGAGCCAAACAACCAAAGTCATGGCAAGCAAAGTCAAGGTTAAACCTCAACAGCAAAAAAAAAAAAAGGCCAGAATCCAAGCACAAACTTCAACAAGCCATATGAGAACCACAACTCCAAGAATCCAATCCCAACAGCAAATCAAAGTCGACCAGTTCTTTCATATACAAATAATACAAACGAAACCACATCAAGCGTCCAGCTGCAGGCACTCAAACATGGAACCAAGACAACATCACACTTGGGTCAGGATCCACTATAAATCATCCACAGAGATGTATTAGTGTTAGATCTGCAGGCCATTTAACTTGTAAACATAATCAAACCTTTGTCTCTGCCAGTAAAATATGTTTGTTAGTTGCAGTAGTTGGCCGACACCACAATCTCTTCATCATTCAAACACAGTAAATACCTCTCACAAGCCATCTTCTCTGTGAGTTTAGGTCTGCTGTGTAGTGGCTTCATTGCAGACACTGGGGCGATGTTATATTTAACTGATCCAGGCACTGGGAGGAACTGGTTGAGGGACTGGTTTGTTCTGGCTGCACTCTGTTTTTGGAATGATCTGGTCCTTCGTGCCATCATATCATCCTTCTCCAGGTCAGGCAGAGGCTCATTTTCATCGTACTCGTCATCATCATCATACTCTCGTTCGCTGTGAGACGTTGCTCGGATGACAATCGTGTCAGGATGCGGTTGAGGTGTTTCCATGGGAACTCTGGGTGGCTGCTGCTCAACTCTATGAGAGAAACTCCTATAATTGAAATAACTATAAACATCAAGTTGGAGAATCTCTTTGAGGATGCAAACCACACCAAGCGTGTTAGTGCCTCCGTACTCTGTTAGACACACAAATCTCAGCCCACCTGACATTCAGTTTCTTGCTCCTGTCTGCCTGCACTTTCCTTTTGTTCCGCGGAGCAGCATCAGTGGTGACCTCCCCTTGTGTGTCGCGCTTAGTGCTGGGCAGAGGCAGGAAACGGTTGTAAGTCACTGTAGAGGCGCTTTGTTTATGGAAAACTCCCGTCCTCCTCGCCATCATGTCGTCTTTCCGAAGATCTGGGATTCTTTCCTCTTCCTCCTCATCCTCCTCCTCTGCTCTCTGTTCATACTGAGCCAGACGTGCATCCAGCTCAGCAGCAGAAGGAGGGGTTTCAGGGGTGCAGGGTGGGAGGTCAGCAGAAGGAGGGGTGGGTTGATTGAGGTCAGCTCCATCTACCTGCCTGTGAAAGCGTCACACAAAGCTCAAACTGTGGCAGAAAGGATGGAAACTATAGTCCTAAAATCCAGGCATGACCATGCAGAACAGCAGGCCACAGGTGACCACCAAGAGCACAGAACACGGATCGTAAAGAAGAAAAAATGTCAAACTAAAAACCACTCATGAGAGTGTCTTAGCAACAGATAAAAAAGGGTTAGAAAAAAACATGCAAAACTAATGCAAATCTACAATAAATAAAAAAAAAATAAAAGACCTGCTACGACATTTTAAACTCTTTGACCATCAGAGCCATGCGAAAATCTCCACCGATGAAAGGTTTTGATTGTAAGAAACATTTCTGAAACATGTATCATAAGTGAACAGACATCTAAGGAGAAAAAGGTTTACAGAATCATTACAGAAACACATGAATTGGACTCTCTGTAGCCCAACCAGGATTTCTGTGGCTGATATATTGGCCAATATTTACATTAAATCATGACATAAATAAACACTTACAATAAGAATAGCCAAAACTTGCCAACTTGCCAGTGCTCTCTTATTAAATATGTAATGAAGATATTGTTCGAAAACTACCTAAAACATATCTTTTTACTTGTCAGCCCATCCGCAGTTTCTTTTTACTTGCATTTACATGCCAGTTATGTATATTTGCAATGAGCTAATATCAGCCGATTTATACAAGCATGCATGTATGTGTGTGCATAGGTGTAGATTTCAGGGGGGATGTAGGGGACATGTCTCCTACTAAAAACAAGACAGTAGAAGACGACTTTAATTTTGACAAAATCCTAAAAATTGATGAAGACAAGGCACAAATTGGTGCACAAAAATTCACCAGAATGGAGGGAATTAAGTGTTTGATGCTAAAAATGTTCTTGCGGAGGACCCCGTTTCATATGTGTACCCCCCAATGTTGAAACAAAACCTACACCCTTGTGTGTGTGCCTGTGTTTCCTATTAAAACTACAAGCAAATCAGCACAATGCAGAGAGGTGCATCCAAATGACCTCATTTACTAATTCAAATGAGCCTGAAATGTGAAACATCTTTCAAAACGACATGGACAAGCAGTTTACTTAAACCATTTATTTAGTAATAAATAGAGATTAACCTAGTTAATTCTCAATACAGGCCACACTAATGCAAAAAGCTTTGGATTAAAGCCACTGTTGCCTAAGATGTCTTGTATTTGGCCTCGTCCATACCTGCGTTCCCGCTCTGAAAGCTGGGAGCCCAGGCCAATGGTAGGCATTGCTACAGTTGTCTTGGAAAGGAGTCGTCTTAGCAACTCCGTCTCCTCCCCTTCACTTGACGTGACTGTGTCTATTGGCTGCCCGATCTCAGTCACACCTCCAAAGGTCACAACTTTGCTGTGACCTCGTCCAGCCTTTGCTGATCCGCTGAAAGGACTTCCATAATTTTTCTGCAGACAAGCCTGACACACAGGGGCCGGGCTAGCCTCACTGTAGATGCAATCTCACAGATGAACACAGGCGTACAATCACACACAACACACAGACAGCAAAAGGGCAAAAGAGGGTGGAAAAGAAACCATGAGCAATCAGAGACAGAGGAGCAGACTGTGAGGACAAAGGAAGAATGAGGTGGAAATGATGAATCAGACAGGAAGTGTGGATGGACAGAAGAGCACAAAGCATGAGGTTATGCACTAAAATCCCTTCAACACATACGTACAATCACAACATAGCCCCCCAAGTTTTTTATCTGCTCTAGGTAGCCATATTTTCCCGGCAACTGCTGCTCCACTGGGAACACAAAAAACTCTTTATCCTATGTAATGACATCAGCGCAGAGACAGAAAAACAAAGCCGAGGCAGTGCACACAGCCAACAGTCGCCTCTCTTTTGGTCACACACACAGAGTCTCACACACACGGGCCAATTCCCTGCTCTGTTTCAATGCCTGTCAAAGAAGACTGAGGAGGCCTGAAGTGCACAATAGTGAGGAGAATAAACAAGCAGATGAGAACATGGGGAGCAGCAGAGAGAAGAAGAGAAGGAAGACTATCTCTGAGGGGATATATGGCGGTTTACAAAAGGATACACAGGGCCAAAGACAAACAGAGCTGAAACTGATGAAATACTGACAAGCAGACAGTGGAAGTATATTTTAAGGCTGTTTTCAGATATTTTTGACTGTTTGACTGTTTCTAACGATAAAAGATGAAGAGGAAGAGGCTTAAAGGTCCAGTGTGTAGGATTTAGGGTGATATATTAGCAGAAACAACACATATTAAATACGTTTTCTTTAGTGTTTACTATTCTTTTATACCCGAGATTGATCCCTTTATATCTACATTGGGAGTGGGGGGACGTTTCTGGATATCACCATGTTGCACCGCAATGTTCCTACAGTAGCCCAGAACGGACAAACCAAACACTAGATCCAGATAAGGCCATTTGCGTTTTCGCGTTTTCACTTTGGCCACTGTAGCTAGAAGTCCATCTGTGACAAACAGTATCGGCAAAACACTGACTTTTACAGAGAAACTGCTTTATTTAATGTTTTTGCCAGTTTTAATCCAGTTTTAATCACTGTGTCTGTTTGTTTTGGAGAGGAAGAACTATGGCTACAGCTTGACTAGGCCATTTAACTGGACTACTGTCCCTGTCCCAGTATACAAGCACGGGAGGGGAATCAATTTATTGACCTAAGTATGTCTGACTAAGTGGCTATATGCCCCCCTTTCAGCTTGTTATTATTGGACCTATTACATCACAGACCAAACAATCGACAAACAAGTTAGCTACAGTTAGCTAGCAACAAACTGGTATCATGGTGGACAACTTTACAGCTCTGTACATCACGTACGTGCTATACGTTTTGCTTTTTGTACAGATGAAATGCACGCTGGATGTAGATTTCGCCATGTTGTTAGTAGCTTCTTCTATTATGCATTTAATGGTATTCGACTTCCAGATAAAAGCCTGGGGCAGAAACTGTGGAGCTTACGCAGAGCGTCTAAGCCAGTTTGGGTCTGAACTGTATGCATCCAGGAGTAATTTGAATCCCAATCACATTTTCTGAGTGTGTTAGTCCAACTTTGAGAATTTAGTATGATTTCAATCAGACTAACATGTTTACATGTATTTTAAAAGTCCAGTTTTAGTCGCACTTACACAATAAATCAATTTTCTCTTATGTCATGTAAATGTTCTGACTGGAATTCTAACCAGGAGAAGTTTCAGCTGGTTGCAATCTGCAAGGTTGCAAAAAATCACTCTTCACATTATAGATTAACCTGTTGATATCTTTTGATTACAAAATCAATAATTTAATGTGTAACATGTCAGAGAACAGTGGAAAAATACCCATGATGATTCCCCTGAGCCCAAGGAGACAAATTGATTGTTTACCTGTCTTAATAATCAAAACCCTGACGATATCCTTTTTATAAAGATATAAAACAGAAAAAAAGTAGCAAACTCAAATATTTGTGAAGCTAGAACCAATGTTTTTGGGTATTTTTGCGAAACAAATGACTTGCAATAACAGGTTGACATTTTGGGAAATACACTTATTTGTTCTCGTGCTCTCGTGGATGGGAATATTGATGCCACTGTCATATGAAAAAGTAAATATGAAGCTACAGAGAGCTTCAGCCATAAGCTGAACTCAGCGAAAAGACTGGAAATAGGGTGATTAAAGTCATGATCCTGAACTCTTCCAAAAAGTAACTCTTTGGAGTTTACTGCCAATAAGTGTGAACAACAATGATCAATGATGCTGAAACTAAAGATGCAAAAAGAAAAGTAAAAGTTAAGTAAAGTAAAGAAGGTGTTGGTTTTTATTTTACTGCTCCATCTCATATGCATTTGCAAAATAAGCTTTTGTTGCAATGATATTTGGACTTCTGAGACAGAGTCATGAAACTTTGTCACTTCAGACAATGTGTACTGACGTGTAGCACTTTGGTGAAGACTCAAGTCAAGTCCCCTGTGTATTTAACCCACTGTTTGTGAGGGTTTGAAACAATATTTAGGCTGGGCTGCAACTTCATATGAAAGTCTCTGCAGATTAAAGATCCTCTCCTGCCTGTAATGATCTGTTTCAAACTGAAAGTAAAACTAGAAGCACAAACACACTGCACATCCTCCCAGTCATTAACACACCACACATTCAACATCCAGCAGCATTTAAGTGCTTTGTATTGCATGTGTGCTGAAGCAGAGAGTGTAATGGGCACCTGGGTTCAGTCATCTTGAGTCTCTCCCACTTCTGCATATCTGCCTCGCTAATGGAGGCAGTAACAAAGCTCACTGGTCCATCCCTGTGAGGGAGGGGCTTACTCTGAGCCCGCCTCCGAGCCAGGTCATCCTTCTGCTTATTAGGCATCGCCTTAACCTCTTCTCCATCTTCCTCCTCATCCTCCTCTTCCTCATGGCGAGGGGCGGATTTAAGGAAGGGGTTGTCTCTGCGTGTAATGATGTCAGGGACTGCTTCCTTTTCACTGTCCAATCACAGAGCCAGTACGAAGGCATCACACAGCACACATCAAAGTGGAGCACACACGTCAAACCACAAGTGACCACAACACCCAAAGAAGAAAAAAAGAGCAGGAACATGGAAGAGGATATTTAGTAGTGAGTTAGGGAGAAGATGGAAGAAAAACAGCACCACACACACAAACACTGGCTAACCTGATCTCCTTCTCCTGCAGCGTTTGCTGAGAGGCTCGTCTAATGCCTTCCCAGCGCTCTCGGTCTTTGTCACTACATACAGGTGGAGGGACAAACTGATGCACTTTGGGAGCGACGGGGCTGCGAAGAGCTCGTCTGGATGCCAGGTCATCTCTCTGAACATCGGGGACTTTCCTCACCTCTGCCTCCTCTTCTGCGTCAGAGGAGTCCAATGCAGATTTGTTAGAGCTCAAAAAGTCATTTTCGCAGCGAAGGATGATGTTTGGGGACGGTGACCTCACTTCCCGGTGCTCCATTGTGGGAGGGCTGAGGTTGGAGATGGAATGTCGTAGAAGGGCAATTTCAGACAGTATTAAAAATCCATTGTTGCATGTTGTGAGCAGAGGTGGGGACATGCAATGTTCAGATTTGACATTCGTCCACAAATACTGTCATATGGCATAGTCCCGTTGATTAGTCATACTTTACAGGCAAACGTATGACTATGTGCGCCAGAGTTAACACACCAACCAGGGAGCAATTCATGACCATTGAAATCTAATACTGACAACTGACATGATGTTAATCAACCTCTTCCAGATGTGGACCACAGAGAAGTACCAAGCAGTTAGTCAGATCTCTACGCCAACACAAAACTCATCATTAATGAGCCAGTTTGCTGCAAACAGATAGCTACACAAAACCAAACATCGAACCTTGGCACCAGTTTGAGTGCAGCACCACCAAAAAAAAACACACAAACAGAATTACCATCGTAACAATCTGTTAGTGAACACGACCAAACTCTCAAACATCAGCACCAGTGTGAGTGGAGACCACGAAAAAAAACACACACAAACACAATTACCATCATAAAGATCCGTTAGTGAACACGACCAAACTGTCAAACCACAGCAGCAGCTCTCATGCCCCTCCTCTCTGACCTGCTGTAGCGAACGGCAGCAGGCAGCACTTTAATTCCTGCCTTCTCCAACATCTGCAGCCTCCTCTGCTCCACCGATTCCCGGGTCACCTTTTCCTCTTCCTGTTTTACTTTTTCCCCATTGTTCTCAAGTGCCCAAGTGACAGTCTTAGGAGTTTTGTGGTGTGGTCCAGTTTTTTTAGGCTGTTCTGGAGTGGCTTGGGGGTGACTGGGGAACAGTGTGTAATGGCAGGGAGAGATTAGGGATGAGGTAGTTTGTGTGTCTTGTGTGATTTACCTTTTCCTTCTGCTCAGTTTGTCTATTTTTCCAGCACTTAATAACTTGTGTAAAATGCATGAGTTGCATCTGAATTATCTATTGCGCTGCCGTGATGGTCATTACCTCCGCTGCTCTCCTTCCTCTGTGTGTGGTTTTCGGCGTGGAGTTGGGATGTAGGAGCTGGCGTTGGTTCGGTTGGGAAGAAACTGGTTAAAGGGAATGGAGCATCTTGATTCACTGCTGGCCGTCCGTCTGGCCAACATGTCATCTTTTCGCACATCTGGCCTTCTGCTGGGGGCATCGGCCTCTGAGTCGCTGCCTCGCCCTGGGCAGCAAAGAGTGATGGAGCATAAAAGAGAAAAGAGTAAAGAAGGTTAGAAAGTATGTCAGGAGTTATTTTTAATTGGTCCCTGCATAATAACCTTTACAAACGCTATTTGATTCTCAAGACAAATTAGCTCCATGTTACACTAAAACTTCATAACATCTTCGATGCCCATTTGTTCCATGTCGTTAAGTGCAAACATTAAAAACATAAAATGGACCATGGCATGTTTATGTTAAGTTTTTAGACACTTAAAAGCATTTTGAATGTTTACTGTAACACCACGGATTGAGATCAGTACTACATTTGTTCACAGGAATGCCCTTCTACCACCTTAATTAAATTTGTAAAGACTGACAAGGTAGTTATGTGTCGGGCTGCATGATATGAGGAAAACATGCACTAATGTGTTGAATATTACAATAACGATATTACATATGATAAAAACATGTTAAAGTAGTCCACCTCTCTGCTGCTATTTACTGCTGAAATACAACAAATTGCTTGTTGAATTAATTATTTTCATCATTCCCTGAGTATAATATCATGCGTTTATCGTGCATGTTGACATTATGATGACAATAAGACAACGATATATTGTGCAGCCCTAATCCTAACCCTTTCCTATCTCAAAATGAAGGTTTATTTATGTGAGTCCCTTTGGAAATTTAACAGTATTTTTTTCGCTTCATTACAACCACTGGTCTTATTTTTGTAGTTATGGCCTTTATTTCTATTGGTAATAATAACAAGTTAATTGCTGAGTTAATAAATAGGGCAACTTTGCTACAAAGAAGTCACACCGGCAAGAAACATGACCACTTGGACATATTTTTTTTTTACAGACTTCTAGGTTAGTCATATTTTATGGAGGACAATAAGGGATTAATAGCATTCAGCTAAGCTGCTGGCTTGTTTACAACCTGTCGGATGTTCCAAAATCGTTCAAAATCTCTCTTTCAACTTTTAGTGAGTACAGTGTTCACATAACTGATAAAAATACTTACCAAAATGGCAACAATATGACCCAAGTTATATTACAGCAGAATTATGCTTTAGATGTAACTGCAACAGCATTATGTGGGCAGTCAGTGCCAACTTTTTGACAAGGTTATTGTGCATAAATCTATAAAGTATTCTGCAAACACACATGCAGACAGAACAGGACAATTTATACCCTGTGTCCATCTTTCCTGTCGGGTAATAAATATTACTTTGCAAAGCAGCACACTGTCTCTGTGACCTCCAGAGCATGTAGGCGATGAGTCTATTCCCGGCTCTGGAATAGTGTTTTTCTTGTCACCCTTCTGCACACATATTATACTGTCAACATAAAAGAAACAAACAGGATGCCTGTGATACTGCCCTCAAACACACACACATACACAGATTGACATGCGACAGGCAGGATGTTGACCTCAGCCTGTGTTTCCCAGGTCTAAATCTCTAGTGACTGCTACTCAGACCAACAGCTGCTGCATCTGGGGCACACACACACAGACACACACACAGACACACACAGACACACAGACACACACGCACAGTGTCTGAGACGTTCAGCTGTTGTCCACAACCCGCCTGACTGGCCACAAGGTTAAAACCCCAACATGTTAGAGAACAGCACTCAGACTATTTATGGATGAGTGGGTTTTGTGTCGCTGCTTTAAAGGAATAGTTCAACATTTAGAGAATTGTTTGCTTTATTTCTGAGACTTAGATGAGGAAATTTATATCCACTCTCATGTTTATATGCAAAGAAATGGGGCGAGCTTTGCATAAAGACTGGAAGCAGTGGGAAACATCAGCTCAGAACTTTCATAAGAGAATTTGAGAGACATTTATCAGAAACCTACCATCACTGTTGCCTCGATTCACCACATCAGGAGAAGGGCTGTGCTGTGAGCGGGAGCCGAAGGAGTCCAGACTGTCAAAAACAAGCAAAACAGATGAAAAACATCTCACTGCAAAGTCACATGTGGGATTTTGCATTAGTAAAATCTGTTGTGATGTTTGAATTGAGTGTCTGAAATCTGAAAATGTCAACAGCTGCCTTTAAGTTTTCATCAGTCATCTGAAATACCCCCGGTGTGTTCGTCCATGTATTTGGTGTGCATATGTGTTGACAGATGTCTCCCACCTGTCTAGGGAGTTGTCTCGAGTGTGTCTTGGTGGAGAGAGAGAGTCGCTCCTCTCAGAGTCCCAACAGTCGTAGCCGCTGTCTCTCACGCTGCGCTTCTGTGAACTGTCGCCTCCTTCCTCGCTCTCCTACAAAACACACGCAAACACACATCAGCCGTCAGGAAATGTGTGGAAAATGTATCAAGTAGGAAGAATGCGTGAAGAATCTCATTTAAAAGACAACACACGGGTTGAAAAAAGGGCTGCAACTAATGATTATTCTCCTTATTGATTAATCTGCCAATTATTTTCACAATTAACTGATCAATCATTTCTATAAAATGTCAAAAAAATGTGAAAAAAGCTCATGACAATTTCCCAGAGCCCTAGTGACTTCTTTATATTGCTTTTTTTGCTCCAACGAACAGTCTGAACAGTCATAAATGACAATGAGGCGCCTTTTTGTAATTGTTTTTTATGAGAATGAAGGTTTTTGCTGCAGTTCTTGCGTTGTGACGCGCCTGGAATTTCTCTGCTCTAAGCACCGGAGCACTCTGAACTCCTCCAGTTTGCCTCATGTCATCTCTTTTTTTTGTCATCTTTTTCACATCGTCCAATCGGATGATTTGAGAGGCGGGTCTTCTGTGGTGGTCATGACAACGAGTTTACAGTTGGTAAACAATGGAGGAGAAACTGGTGGTAGCGGTTGCTGGATACCCAGAGTTATACGATAGACAGGAGGCCCTGCCCCTGAGTCATCCTAAAATATGCCTGGAAACGGCCATCATCGAGGCGAAGCTCCTGGACCAACTGGTGGTACTCCCCATGATCCACCCTCTTTTTTAGGGTCTCATGTACCCACACAGATCTCCGTTTTCCTGTGCCCAACAAACTATTTACTGACAGCCTCTAACCCTCAACCAGAGCTACAGCAAGTACCCTCGTCCTGTCCATTTAAGGAACTAGATACTAATTACAGTCAAAAATACCTAAAAATAATGGTAGTCCGATTACACGGGAAGGTTAGGTTAATAAGGAGGTGAGTCCATGTTTGCCTGGCAACAATAAAAAGGCACAGCAAGCATTTTTTTCCACTAGCGGCATTCAATTTTAAAAAAAGGCAGTGCTGCGTGCCTCGTATTTTGCGACAGGCAAAATGCTCTCTGTGTGATCGGGACCTTAAAAAGTTAGACCCAGCAAATGTTTGATATCTTTGCTTGAAAAATGATGATTAACGCAATTAACTTTCGTTTGATTGACTAATCTCTTAACGACTAATTTTTGCAGCTCTAGTTTGAGAAATTGATTGGAAAGCAAACTGGGAGCAAAAGAAACAAAAAAGCCAGGTGCTCTTTGTTATTTGACTTCCCATTGATCCAACAGATAAAATGTTCACAGATTTGTCTTCCTAAACTCATATCCTGCTTCTCTTTCTGTCTCTCCCTGAAATAGGAGTAGCTGTGTTGTAACAAAAACAAAAATGTGTTTGTCTCCTGTCTCATGTGTCTCTCCTGCACCCCAACAAAGACAGGAAACTAACCTATCTATCCCCCGCACCTCCTCCACACCACTATCTGTCTTTCTGTCTGTCTGTCCCCCCCTCCTTGCTCTGTCCTCTTCTCCACCGTGCACACTCACCACCTTCATTTGAGCTAGAAGCCCTTCAAACTCCTTGAGGTTGAGAGTAGGGCCGCTGTAGGAGGCGCAGCCGCTGGCAGCCTTCCCAAGCCAGAACACTGTGTTCAGCACCTGAGAGACATAGATATGGAGGGTTTGATGTATATTCATAAATGCTAAGCATGCTGCCGTTGAAGATAAAGCAAGAAAAACAAAATAAACGTCTCACATTTTTTAGCTTGCGGTTGCAGTCAGAGTCCCTGAGGAGAGAAAGAGATGTGTTACTGTCATGTGAGACTACATTTAAATTAACAGGAATAAAAAGCCACACACTAATGATCATTTACTTGAGGTTGGCCCGTATGGAAGTGTCCTGCAAGTCCCCGGGGTCAAACAGCTGGGAGCCCTTCAGGCCCAACTCCTCACAGCCCCGCAGGAAGACTGACAGGTTGTCCTACAAGACAGACAGCAGGAGACCACAGACAGTCAGACTGACGAACAGACTGGTTTACTGGGATGAATGTCACTCTGGAGAGTGTCCTCTTACCAGGCCAGCGATGGGGGTGGGCAGTCTGTTGATCTTCTTGACCAGCCCTGGTTTGATTGCACTCAGCAGCCTGAGTGGAGGAGGGGAGAGGCAGAGATTTATTGAGTCTTAGAGGAATTTATGTATGTTGTCACTACTTCAGATATAAAAATCTGAGTGGGGTTAGTGTCACCGGCTTACTCGCATAACAGGATGCCATTCTCCAGTCCGCTGCGGAAGTCCTTGTCTCCAAAGCTCTTCCCTGTTACAGCCTGGGGGGACAGGAAGAGGCAGATGTAAAGGAGGTCAAGTGGAACCACAGCTGCAGCTGACAGCTATCTTCATTTTAATTATTTTTATTTTTTAATTTATTCTGGGTTATTTTCCAAATAATTAACTAATTGTTTAGCATATAAAATAATCACTACAAGTTCTTAGAGCCCATGTTTCATTTTTGGCCATGCTGCTCTTTTTATTGGTGTCATAAAAAAAAAAGATGAAAACAAAGTATTGTGCAGATATAAATACAAAAAGAACAAAAAATGAATCATCGTTCTCGACAACTGATTAATCACTTAAGTATACCAAGTGTAAATGCCAAACATTCTCTGGCTCCAGCTCCTTAAATGTGAAGATTTGCTATTTTTGTGTGTTGCGTAACATTGTAAATTGAATATTCTGGGGGTTTTAGAGAGTTAATATGACTTTAACAAGCATTTTGAAGATGTCGTTTTGGACCCTTGGTACTTGTGATGGGGGTCTAATTGAAAAATAATCAACACATTAACCATATCAATTGCAGCCCTAATATGATCGCTGCAATATCAAGTACAAAAGTGCTTGAAGTCTGTTGAATTGTGCCCCACTGTGTCCCTGACAGAGGAACCTGCTGCTGCCCAGTTCACCCTTCCCCCAACATTTTTTGCTTCAGTAGAAACCAAATTAGATTGACGCCAAGCCAATGACACACTGCTCTGTGTCCTCATTCCATTTTCCCTGATTTAGATGCACGCAGCCACAGCCTCGGCCAACAATAATCTCAATCCTCTAACCTGAACTCCAATTTGCAGCCTGTCCTGTAGGAGGAAGCTAACAGTGACACACTACCACAGCACCAACCCACACACATGCACTGCTTTCTGGAGCTGTTGTGTAACCAGCAGCCAAGGATGAATGGAAAAGAAGAGGGGTTTGACTGTTTAGACTTTTAATCCAGATTAGCACAGATTATAGTTAGCGTTGAAACTGTTAACTGTGGGCACACACTCTCGCTGTGTCCACTGCTCATATACAGTGTGCTCCTAAACATATAAACACTCTAAGTGTCGGTTTTTGTCTGCAGCTGACCGCAGATAATAATACAAAGTTATTTTGGTGGCAAAATATTTGAGTCCTTCTGCTTCTTCTTCTTCTTCTTCTTGTCAGCTATATTTTTGGTGAGGATTTATTTTCTGTTTCTTTATGTACAGTTCTCATGCACACACAGAAACACACATACACACACTAAGTCCATCTGCAGCTATGAAAACAGCCTATTGTTTTATCATTATGTAAGTGATGACCAGATGTTTCCCATTGGCATCTCTTTCTTTTTCTTGTCTTTCATCATTCTGCTGTCACACACTCACATACACACAAACACACACACACATACGAACACACACATGCTGGCACACGTCATGTTTATCAAGGTTTGACTCCAGGCCTTTGAAACATTTACAACATGGTCATGCATAATTTACTGACCAAGGAGAGTACTGTATTGAGGGAGAGCAGGATGACTATGTTTGTGTTTGGTGTAGGTTGTGCATGTGTGTGTGGTATGCAGGACACAGACAGTGTGTGAGGAGGGTGAGGGTGGTTAACAACTGGTTATGTGTAAAATGCTGAAACTGAAATACAGCAATTAGATAAGGTGACTGACGTGAGCATTCATGTTTTGGATGAAAAATTTAAGCAGAGGAAGAAAGTCTGTCATGAGTGTGTGTTAAAAAGTAAGACAGTGTGTATATGTGTGTGTATGTGTTAAGTGAGCATTCATGTCTGCTACAAAGACCAAACTGAAGGCCTTTGGGGTATTTCAGCGCCAGCGACGGTAATTCGACCCTCCCTCGCTCCCTCTCAGTCCCCATGGTGGATTGCTCTGCTCAGCTTGGCTGAATGGCAGCAGCAGCTACCATTTAAACCCTGAGATGGGATTGTGTGTGGGGGGCAGAGGAGAAGCAGAAGTAGGCCAAAGTACCATTTACTTTATTTTAACAACTGTAACAAGATGGAAAGAATGAGGGGCTAGAAAAATAGAAAGCAGGAGAGCATATATGCAGTATATCAAGTTAGCGGTGCAATTTCTAATAAGCACATGTGCCGTAATGCATTTGAGTGACAAAAGCCAGGATCTGCAGGCCCAGAGAAGTGATAATAATATGGGAACATGCTGCTGCTGCTGCTGCTACAGTTTGTTGGTTATTACCACCGCCAAAGAGGTTATGTTTTCAGTTCGGTTTGTCTGTTTGTCACCAGGATTTTGGAAAAACTACTGACCTGATTTTCATGAAACTTTTTGGAAGATTGAAGCATGGGTTAAGGAAAAACCTATTAAATTCTGGAGTGGATTGGAATCTTGGGGTGAAAACACAAATTATTTTTCACTTTTGTTAAAATTGCGAAATGTGGCATTTGGCCTTGGCAGAGGTCTGAGATCTAGGAGTGCCCGTCTAGTGTTATACATGGTACAGTTAGACTATCTCCTGAGTTGACCCTAAGGTCACAGCCACAGGAATATGTTTAATATTAAAACAGCACTGTAAAATGAAAACAATCTCCATGCACACCAGCATTTTAGCACTGTTTCAGGAATAATCTCCATCCATACTAACACATATGGGCATGTGTGAGCCAGTGTAAACAGGAAGCAGATTCAGTCACAGTCTTGTGTGGTGGTTTGCTTGGTTACAGAAAGTACTGTGGAGATAGCGAAAAGTAAGAGCAGAGATTTCTCTGCTTGGATCAATGATGAGGTGGAACGGTTGCTGAAAGTAAAATGAGTGTAAGGCAGTCAAGGCGGCAGAAAACAGACTGGGAGTTGTTGCAAATACATTAGAGCAGTGCCAGCATTAACCATCACTGGAGGAAGCCATGACAACAGAAAAGAGTGACGCCACCCACACAACGATAAAGTCACAAAAGGTACGTACATCTTGGCTTTACACATTGTGACTGATAAGACCCAATCAGGAAGCAAACATGGGTATCTACATCATCGTTTTCAAATGTCTCCAGACTAAAAATGCAATGCCAGAGTTTTCAAACTAAACTATAAACTAGAACTAGAAAGGCTTTATTGTCATTGCATAGGAATACTACAAAATTAGGTGTGACACTCAAGTGATGCATTCCAACTCTTCTAACCATTAGGATTAAAAATTTTAATTTTGTTGCATGATATAAAGGATCTTTCATACATTCACACTTTGATTCTTTGTCCAGAAACTGTAGCCTGATATGAATTATATCCATTCTGGTTTTGTGGCTACACAAGAAAAACGTTTTATATGAAAATAACAGAGCAGTATCATCACAGACAAACATGGCTGATAACAGAACTTTTGGTTGTCATTGTACAAATTCAGCAAGGTCATTTATCAATGCCAGCTACCATCTTTGTTTGGAATACGAAATGCAACATGATAAAAATCCAAATAATGTATTGATCAAATATGAAAATGGATAATCAGACTGTAATACTGACGTAACAGAACAGGGTACAGGAACTTAAAGTGTCTAAGTTGCCTTTCATACGTTTTCTTTTTTCTTTTGTGTGTGTTGCATTTTGTCTTTGTTGCTATTTTGTCCTGTTTACCTGTGTTGGTTGTTTTGTTGTTGATTGCTACAAATGATGTGCTGTCAAAAGGGTAGGTGTTATAAGCTGTAGCTTCAGCCTACACCTTTTTCGGACTGCAGAAGTGTCTAAGTTATGTTAACTGTGCTATTCAAGTATCTGCCATTTTCTGTGAGAAGCTGTGACTTTATTTACATGAATTTCTAGATAAATACATGACGTTCTTATTTCTATTTGCAGACCGAAACAAATTCTAATTCTTAGAGTCTAGAAATACCTTCAGAGCAGCAGTAGGTGTGCTTAGCTCTGTGACTCAAATGTAATGTTGATGTATGGGAGGCACAAAGTAAATTGAATCATGCTGAAATGCCTTTGTGCTTCCAGTCGAGCCAGGAGATGGAGAAGATGGAGAGGGTTAAAGGCCCAGTGTGATGCACTGACTGCTAAGAGAGGCTGGTGTTTTTGTTTTTTTTTTTGCTGTGTTGCAGAAGCATTAGCTTTTTTATAATGTTATTATGTGCCGTAGGCATTCTGCACACTAATGGCCACGTGACATATGGAGGAGAAGAGAAGATAAAGAGGGAAAACAAACTGAAAGAGAAAGACAGAGAGATAAAGTCATAATCCAGATTGAGGATGGGTTTAATCTGGATCAGAGTAATTAACCAGAGTGACTAGAAAACATCAGACTCTTCAGCTGCTGACAATTGATATCATTTCAACACGAGGAACAAAAGTACTTCCTCCAAGCATACTTATTGTACTTCATATCTTCATGACAGTAAAATAAATTAGTAGCTCACTAAAATGGAATTTACAGTAAGTGTGGAAGGAGCATTAGTGTTATCACTGCATGATAATTTGATATTTTTCACTGCATGAAAATATACAAAATATGATATTCTACAATGACATTTTAACATACTTACATTTCACTCTGCGCTGTGCATAAAAAATGTAGTTATACTAATTTAACATACTTAAAGCTGGTATTTACTGTTATCAAATCTATCAAAACCTACAAAATTAGCATCCTAAATGTTGTATAGTTTAGTGCACTACTTTTTTTTTAGCTCAAAGTTGACACAACACAAACTCATACGCACAGTGCAAATCAGAGCCAATTATTCACGTTATGATGCAGCATTATTATCATTAACCTTTCTGCAAGTGCACAGTGTTCTAATGCTTTATATCAAACACAAGACAATATGTTTAGCTTTGTCTGTGGCAAACTATTATTCTGGCTTAGAAAAAACTTCAAGACTCATTGAGACATGAAAGACATCTCTGCCAACAGCAAGTCTGTGTCATCATTATTTCTCATTCTTTCATACAGCGTTTGATCCATGGAAAATCCCATGAATCCCTGCTCTCACACTCTCTCTCTCTCTCTCTCGTGCAGACACAGCTGGCTGTCTGTGACCATTGGAGTTAATCTGCCCAGGACAGACAGCTGTGACATCTGGCATGCACTCGCGCACACACACACATTCTTTCGTTTATTCCCTGTGTGACAGACCTTAACTCTTGCTATGTACCGAAGGCCAGTGACAGCAGAGGTTAACTGCTGTCACTAAAGTTAACTTTGTGTGTGTCTAAGCCTGTACAACTTTAACCTGCTCAATTTCACATCCAGCAGGTTTAAAGCACCTTCGACGGGGTGTATCGGCTTTGAGACAGCCTAATCCTGCCCTGTGTCGTTTATAAACAGATAGAAAGGTCTTGTCTGTGCCAGTCTTATTTCCTGCCCAGGTCAGGTGGTGATATATAGCCTACTGCTCTACTGCCCCCCTGGAAACAGTGACACCTGAGAGCCTGCCCATGTTATGTTCCCATAGTGACCAGTGTCACCCAACCAGGGCGTGTCTGAGGAGTGTGGGAGCAGTGTCACACATAGCTGATCAGCATGTGTATGTGTGTGTGAATACACTTTGCATACTCTTACAGGCATGGCGCACACACACACACACACACACACACACACACACACACACACACAATCGCAGGCTGAAATGCAGCATGGAGAGTAGGGTGGAATGGTTAACCCTGAATCATCCCCACCTGTGAGAGCAGTGAGCGCATAAATACACCACTAGAAATAGAGTCAGCCTGACTGGTCTGAAAATAACTGGAGAATTAGGAGGCAGGAAGACGACAAACCGAGAGGAACGCTGAGCAAAGACGCTGCAGGAGAGATTAGGACTTAGAGGCCAACTTTAACCCAGACAACACTGTTTGTGCACATGGCTGATGTAAAACAGTGACCACTGGTACTTTTACGTGCTGACCAAGATTTGTTATTGAATTTTGGCATCAAAAACTGCCAAATGTTTAAAGTTTTGAAGCCATTTTTGTTGAGTTAAGTAGAATACAGTAGTTACAGAGATTTACAGTAGTTACAGATTTGTGACATTATGGATACTTGTGTTAAAACAATAACTGATGCGCAGAGAGTTTTGCCATATTTTGTTAAAGGGACCAAAGGATAACCAGTTCTAACCACCGATGAGTAAAAAAAGTATGCTCAACACAATAAAGCACACTGCTGCTTTAAACTTTAAAGGTTATAGAAAGGTGCGCTATGTCTTTGAGATGTGCAAGAATTATTAAAAGCCTTGCTGATAACTTAATCCTTTAAACTGGAATATATTCAAGGCCTATGCAATCTTTTGTAATCCTTTTTCTGTGATTGAGAAGGGCACAAGGATGACTTGTGAGAGTAAGACACATCCAACCTCAACATCCTTCACTGAAGAGATAACTGCAAGTTTGGTGGAAATGATCTACACATATTAATATCTCTAAAGCCACCTAAATAGGCCACTGCTCTCCAAAGATTTTTTTTTTTTCATTAATGCTGATCATTTTGGTTTTCTTGCACTGTATGTGGGGCGCTGACACATCTGAACTGGGTGGACGGGGAGACAAATGATCCACTTCTGTGGCCTCTGAAATACTAAAAGTAATCAAGGCGGAAAGATGCAGCCCTGAGGGAACCATCTAATCTTGATGGGCAGACAGACAGACAGACAGACAGACAGACAGTATCCAGTTTGTGTCCTGACTCCTGACCCGAAGTTGGAAACCACTGCAATAAAATTTAGCAAAATTGGATTTCAGTTTTACGATGGACTGATTCAGAGGCTTTTAAAAATACTTTAGTGGGCTGTTAGCTGTTAAACTGAAATCTAACTTCTCCTTGGTAAAGACACATTTGTTTAACAATACATTTTAAGTCTGTTTTGTAGGTTTGTTTGTGTGCTTTGTTTTGGATGATTTTAATCTGTCTTGCCTGTTTTAACCAGTGGTGGGATGTAACTTAGTACAGTTATTCAAGTACTGTACTTAACTACAATTTTGGGGCATTTGTACTTCGTTTTGGAGGATTTCCATTTCTTGTTACCTTATACTTCACTATGGTTTGGAGGCAAATACTTGACTTTGTATATCACCACATCTATTTTGACAGCTTTAGATACCAGCTTTTTGCAGATTTAGAATACAAAATTCAATCAACTAATGCATTATGATGTATCATTATAGATTAGGCTAACTGGCAGTACATAAAGTAGGTAGAATTAGCCCCACCTTTAGCAATGCTTACACCATTAATGCATTAATAATTATAATTTAGCAATAAAAAAATGTTTTGAAATGGACCATTCTGCATAATAAATACTTTTAGTTTTGGTACCTAAATGAGCAGTGTTAAGATTTAGGGGGTTTTAGGGGCACATAGTGGTGAGGACATTACAACCAGCTGAAATCTGTCCCGGTTAGGATTCCTTCAGTGTTTATTCTTTCTGGGAGCCACATTACCTGCAGAGGTATTCCTCTCCAAAACAAACAGATCCAGTGATTTCAACTGCTAAAAACATGAAATAGAAAAGTTCTATGTTAAAAAAAAAATCAATGTTTTTCAGACGTTGCTTGTTGGACTTGGGACTGCTTGCGGCAATGGCAGGCATGAAAATGGCACTATCTAGAGCAGTGGTTCCCAAGTGGTCCAGTAACAGGGTTTTTCCTTAGCTCAAGGTACAAACAGTTTAATATATTCAGCGTCATATTTGCATTTGGCCATGTTGACAAGCTTGTTTACTGTCTCTGTTAAGTACCTGTCCATTAGTTACTCACTCTACAGCAAGAAACGTGCCAGAAATTCACTGTACTTCAAAATTATGTTGCTTTTTTTGGTTTGCTTTTTTTTCTTTTCTTTTTTTTTACAAACGTGACTCGCATCATTTGTGGTCCACTCAGAATGGACCAGTAACCCACTGCTGGACTACATCCTACCAGTTGGGAAGCCCTGATCTAGCGCCAGTGTTTGGTTTGTCTGTTCTGGGCTACTGCAGAAACACGGTGGTGCAACATAGTGTTTTTTTTAGACAAGGGCTTGCTATTAACAGATATTAACAGTTCATTTTAGAGTAACGAACACACAATTCTTATTTTTAGGTAATTATACACAAGAGAAAATATACATTTATATTCCATCTCTGTCAATATATCCCCCGAAATCCTACACACTGGACCTTTAAAGTATATTTTGAAGGTAATACTTCTCTTTTACTTAAGTGAAGTCTTGAAGGCAGGGCTTGGTTTGTATCTTAATGGGTTTTAATCACAACAGTTGCAATTGTGTGCCAGGACAGGAAGTTTCCAGTCTTGTATTTATCCTCAGATTGGTCAAATAAATCTAGCTATCCAAGTCCTTCTCTAACTACCACAGGCTGTAGTAACTGTCCTGTGTCTAAAACAAACTGCACAGATTGTGGGGGTCCTGTGGAAACGCAGCCAAGTACTGAAGTTAAAGCCAAAACTTTTACATAATAGCTCACTTTGTTGTACCTCCAGTCCTTTATATCCCAAATCTGAGATTCTAGTTGGCAGGTAGGCTCGGTAGGCTGAAGCGGGGACAGCAAAAAATAGGTCATAACGCAGCTCCACGGGCAAAATCATGATTCACCACTCAGGCTTATGGAGAGAGGCGTTTTTTTATCCGAGCAGATGATGGTGAAGCGGCGCAGCAAACCACACATGATAATCTCATCCGATGCGATCAACGGTTGGTACTGTATAGCATCTCGTGCGTGAACGCTGGCCCGGTTTCATTGCCATGGCAACCGGAATCCCCTCGCGCCTGAAGAAGGGGGCGTTTCTCCTGCTAGCTAATAAAACACATCACTGATAGGCTGCTAAACAAACGGAAAATAAACGGCTGCTCTGTGGCGTTTACTGCCATTTTTGAGGTGTATTTTCTCGCTCTGTCGGTGTTTAAAGTCCACATAGTGTTGGTGCGTGTGTTAAATAACATGAAGAGCCTCACATGTGTGAAAACTTTTGACACATATGTTCGTCCTGACACGCAGCGGAGCCGTTGTCCCACACGGTAACCCGACACTGCATCGTCCCCACAACAGGTGACGATGCACCGGTGCTGTATGTATTTATATCCCCCAGTATGCCCCGTTTCTGTCCCCTTGTGGTGTAGCAGCAGGCCCCTGAGCCTCCCTGAGCGGTCACTTACCTCTATCCATTTCTGCGCCTCCAGACAGGCTGGTTCGGGATGGTGCGACCCTGACAGCTCCGGCTCGTCCCGCGGCGAAGCCTCCGGGTTATCTCGACCTGCTGTGGGGCTAGCCATCTCCGGGCAGGCCGTTTACCGAGGACCACAGAGTGAGTGAGTGTGTACCGGACGGTGATACGTGATATGTGATAAGATGTGTTGGTGGTGCTCCCCTCCCCGCTCTGTCAGCCCGTTATCCTCCTCCTCGTTTTCTACCGTCAAACGCCCCGCAACTCCAGCTCTGGCTCTCTGGTGCTCAACTGCAGGTCCTGCTCAAAGTGTGGCACGGAGGTGGAGAGAAAAGCTCGCGACCCCGAAACTGCAACACGAGCTAGGGCGCTAAAAATAATGATTCTTGTACGCAGCCGAACTGCGCGAGGCTGCTGCCGCGCATTTTAGGACACGTGAACGCGCAGGCAGGAATCTATGCGGGGGAGGTCGAGAGAGATGGACCGAGATATGGAGTGAGGAAGAGAGGGGGGAATTACAAAATATGTCCCGTTATGTGGCTGCACAGTTATTTGGTTGAGGAGATCTGCTTCATGCTGATGCTACCTGAGCATTTGAAAGTCCACTGGCTTTAAAAATGCAGAGCTATTTCGCAAGAAAATGTCAAAAAGTCGAGGTTTAAGTGACTGTTTGAGTCCATTAAACACAACTATGTTAAGGAATATGCACAATTTAATCACAATATTAGGCCTACCTGAAATAATAAAGCTGTTAAAACCAACTTTAGCTACAGGGCCCTTAATTAACAAAGGCCCTTGAGAGTCTAAGGGCCCCTGGGTAGATGCTAGCTTTTCCTGCCCAGTAACCAACCCTGTGAGCGATAAATTGAAATGAAATGAACAAATAAAATGTTGCAGGCTTGTTGATGCATGGTGAAATGCTTCTGAGCCTTTGTCTGTAGGGGAGAAGTGTCATTGCAAAGCCCATTTATGACCCGTGATAAATGCAGGTTATATCTCATATATGTAATCAAATCCAACAAACTGACACATAGTTGTATACTTAATAGTATAAAATGAAGCTGCCATGTACACAGTAGTATGTGCTTTGTACCCTGTGGGTCATTAAAGGCAACGAGATATGATTTATTATTTCTCTGGTGGAGAAATCTTTGCCGACATTAAACTACTTACATTAGAAATACAATATGAAAAAGTGCAACTTCTTCACTGTATAATATTAACTCCCCCATGATGCTAAAAGCCCCAAAAGAGGTCTCACTGCCCTCAATAACAGCCTTGCCTTTAAGTGGCTAAAATAAGATGTATATGCCCCATTTAAAAAAAAACAAGATAGCTTCTCAGTTTTCCTTTACAGTCACTGAGTGTGTTACACAGCACAAAATCAATAGCACCATAAACTCTTACAAACTGCATTTCACACACTTAACAAAGACCGGTGGTAATCAGTAACATAGTAAGTAATCAGTGATGTAGATAATACTTGTGTACACAGTGTCATGGCCTTTAGTGTTAGGTGAAAATGTGACCTTTTTAATAAGGTCAGACCTCTATTTTCTTACCAGATCACCTGAATGAAGAGGTGAAGCTCTCACCAAGTGAAAGACACAACCAGGGGATACTTGTAAAGCTATATTACCTCCCATGGTCTTTGATATTATTTTGTCTGTTGGGATTAAGACTTAACTACCGTATATATTTGTGCCTCAAGATTCAGAGAGGTCTTTTTCAGTCCCTTGGTCTTTATCAAAAGAATCCTGTCACTAAGGTTAATATCCTGTTTATCACATTTTGTCTGTTCTTTTGCAGCACAGAACAGTGTTGTGTCAGCATCTATAGTGATGAGTTAACTGACCAGACAAACAGTCCTCCTCCTCCTGCTTCACCCCTTTGCAGCTGAGCAGTAGCCAACACTGGTAAGGATGAGCCTCAAGCTGTGAGGGCAGTAGGACATTAACCACTTCATCACCTTATGCGACAAAAGTATAAATGGGTGTCTGCTAAAATGTAGACTGATGGAGACAGATTACTGGGTTTTAAAGGAAGAGCTAGAGACACATTTAACTTTAATGGTTGCTTTATTGAATTCCCACAGCTGCATCACCGACAGAACTACAGCAACATAGTATTTGGAAAGTGCAGAAAGGTAAACAATTGGTGCACAGCCTAAACACAAAGTACTATCACCCTGCAATGCACAACGACAACTCAACATAGAGTAGCACTTTGTTATGATGGTCCCGATCATTTTGTATTTTATGTGTTTAAACTTGCACGCTGACAGTGTATTTGACTATTTGTAGATTTTTAAGGGAAAACCCATTTTTCAAATAAAGTGCAAACAATTGTATTAATTTTTGAACACATAGGTAAACTACTGCGATCCACCACTACAAACTTCTCAAAGACAACCTCAGTTTCTGAGAGAAATGTCACCCAAGAATACCACTCAAAAGGTTGCGTGCAATTTCCGAACAATGGTTAAATTATTCCTACGGATACATTTGGGCTGTTCTGAGGAATGTCAGATCCTTATAAACTCAACCACACAGCAACTAAAGGCTTTCAGAGAAACAGGCAAAACATTTCTCCATACAAGTTTTCCGCCTTTTCCTTCTCACTCTTCTTTGTTCTATTTATTGGCACAAAAGGTATTTAAGCATCTTCTGAGTTTGACACCGATCCACCACTGACTACATATAAAAAAAAAACTTGCAGAAAAAGACAAATACACATATGCACACAAGCAGTGGTGAGATCTGACCTCATGTTTTACAATTCTCATTGCTAAATGATATCACACAAAAAAAGTTTGGGACAAGCTTGTAGCAGTTAGTGTCAGCAGAACAAAAGGTTTTGATATTTTGTGTGTACATGTGCTAAAGAATGCTTTGTTCATGAGATGAAAGTACAGTATGTGGCAACAATATGTGCTTTATAGTGCATAGTGTCTGCAGATGTGTGTGTTCACAGGTTGTTCTGGGTGCCTGATGACTGTGTTTGCCTTGTGAATGCTCCAGGACATTTTGGTTTACAATTTGGTTGTGCGTCCTACTGAACATCTAACTGTGACAGAGAGCCACTGCAGAGAAGCGGACCTCGCCTTGCTCTCTCTCCATGAAGCCACGGCACACTTTGGATGCATCCTGGGCACGTATGAAAGGAGAAAAAAGTTTAATCTTCAGTAAAATCTGTATGTAATTTAAAACAATATATTTTTTAATCATGTTTAATTAAGTTATTTGTGCTCCACTATACATAAGCTATAAAAACTGAACTTTTTAACTGCACTACTGACATCTGAGGCTACTAGCCACAAAGGAAAGACTGTCCTACAGATGGAGCAATTTTCAAATATCCGAGGACATGTTACTGTTAATATTTATATACTCCCCGATAGGTTGTATAAACAGGTTGGGCGGTTGTTAAAACAATAATGACAATCAAGGCCTCTCTTGTGTAAAATTCAACTTAATGAACAATAAAATACAAAAGTAAAAAAACAGTAATATAAAAGTTGCATTAAACAAATAGCTCTTAATACTTTAATATGAGGCTTGACATCAAGAATGTGCTTATAATCATATAGCTTATAATTGTATTTTAGATTTTTAAGGCTTTTTAAAAACTCATTAGACCACACCAGCTTAATAAAATGAATTCCTCTTAATGCTTATCTTAACCACATTACACATTTTGTAGAAAAAGTTGTGTATATAATTTCATTGATATTTTGATAGCAGTATTTGGTCAAAACTGTAAGTAATTCATTAAATAATAACATTTTATTTTGCTAATATTGTCCACCCATATGCTCTAGTAGAATTGTGAATGCAGGTCTTAAAATTCAATATTTATCTGTGTAGGTTTCTTTGGTTTTACTTTAGGATTTAAGTAGTCCTGCTTCCATTAAATGAGATCCAATAAATCATCAAAACATTTAATGCTACAGTTCAATCCCTAAAGCATGTAGCGCCCTCTTGTGGTAGTCTGACATGACAGTCTAAAAGGCTCTGAGTTGAGCATGGACATGACTCAGTAACTTCTTTGGCATGTTTTTAAACTGGAACTAAATACACTTTGTTTTCCTGCTTTATCTGTCAGTTTCATTATGCTTTTTCTAAACAGCTTATTTTTTTATTCATCTAATATTTAACAAACAGACCTGACTTACATGGCTTCAGGAGTGGCAGTTCAAATGTAAGGTGAAACATAACATTGCTTTAATTCCAACTCATGATTTTTGTAGACATGGACGTCAGTTTACTAGTCTTCTTTACAGTCCCCACTTTTTTATGATTCCTACTGGAGATTTGAGAGTGTGCATTAGCCAAGTTTATTGATTGAATCAAGACACTAGGGAACAGCCACTCCCTATTCCAGTTTAATACCATGACTCATCACAAACCATGTGGAGAAAAGAACTTGGCTCACAATTATATTTCAATAAATACAGAATTCACACAAATTGTTAAAGAATGACCACAGTTTTACCTACCGTAATGAATGACTCGTCTTTGGTAGCTCCGTGCTTCACTGGTCCATTAATTCTCCCATCTTACAGACAAATAAGATAATTAGCAATCCAAAAAGTGAAGCCACACACAGTAATGTACACACTGAGTTGATTTGCTTACCCAGTTCATAAAGTTGTCCATCTGCATTGACAAAGGCAATAAAGTGGAAGTTGATTTTGTCGGCTTCCGGCTGTGAAAGTTGAGATAGGAGGAATTAATATTCAGAGTGAATATTTTGAGACAAAAAGGGTGTCAGAAAAGACCAGTACTGCAGCGCAACTTGTTGCCATCAACACCACATTTAGTTTAAATTCACATCTTATCTCTCTCTAATACCCCCTTCAGACCAACAGTGATGAGAGGTCAAACCCACATCAGGGTCATTGGGGTCTAATAGAGGCTGTCTTTCATGATCCTCCTCTCAACCAGGGTTGGATGGAGGTTGGACGTTGCACAGCTAAGGTTACCTGGTGTTGCTACCAGGAACAGAAATTGATTCAATAATACTGATGCTCACCAAAAAGAAAGAGAGCAAGCTCATATATGGGCTACCAAGAGACAAAGTGTGAATAAGGACAGACACAGAGGTAAAACTAAATTGTGCAACTCTCAGGTCGGTTAAGTGTACGGAAAACACTGCGACGAGGAGGGTGTCAGCTGTCTCATATGAATGATTCCAACGTATCGTATGCACATCTACTGCCTGAAAGGGGTAAAAGATGTTAACCACTAGCAGTTGATATTGCTGATATCTTACCCTACACTGGCCCTGGGCTGCAACATCATTGTGAGCCCCACAGATTGCCTGGAGAAGCAAAATTCAGAACATGTAAGTTTAATACTGATAAAAAAAGTACATTGTCCTCTGTAAAACAAACATGCAGAGATGTTTCTACCAGAAACACTGCAAATC